TATCAACGAAAACACAATAAAAAGTATAATTGACGTAATAAAAACTAACTACATTTTAGAGTGGAAACATGAACTGAGCAACTCTTCTAAACTTACTTTTTATGACAAAATTAAGAATGATTATAAACAAGAAAACTACCTAACTATAATAAAAAATCCATGTCAAAGACGGCTATATACAAAATTACGGATAAGTACCATAATTATTATGATATGGTCGATACCAACAATACCTCGGGAAGAGAGGATATGTAAACATTGCAATTTGAATGCTATTGAAGACGAATTTCACTTTGCCTTCGAATGTCCAAATTATGACAATCTGAGAAACAATTCTAATAATATTCTCAAAAACATGTTCGAACTAGATTTACCTAAAAGTTCAAGAGAAGATTTATTAACGCATATTATGATCAATGCAGACCCAGTGTTAACAAATCTCTTCTCAAATTTTATTATGAAGTGTTTCAAGGTCAGAGACATATGCCAAAATAACCTCGAAAATCAAAATAATGATACAATACAATTACTGTATAATATCAATTGCTTCTTGAACTCTAAGATTTTTTATAATCATACTTGTTCTGTTATCTTTGTTATTACTGTATATTAGTGTAAGTTATTATATGTCATTATAACTTTGACAATACCTGTAAATAGCTAGGTCATGTCAATAAAGTTCTTTTATATATATATACCCCTTACCATTCTTGTCAAAATTGACGACTTTTTCAATATACCAAAAACCAACCATATAAGCTCTAACATGAAAGATATTAGTCTTAGGAAGCCATTTTTAGAATTTGAGACGGTTTCTGAACAATTGAAAAAGTCGTGAAATTGACCAAAATGGTAAGGCTTACCCCTTACCACTTTGGTCAATTTTGACGACTTTTTGAACTTTTCAAAAACTGTCTTAAAATGCTAAAAATGGCTTCCTAAGACTAATATCTTTCATTTTAGAGCATTTTAAGACAGTTTTTTAACAGTTCAAAAAGTCGTCAAAATTAACCAAATTGGTAAGGCTTACCCCTTACCCCTTACCAATTTGGTCAATTTTGACAACTTTTTGAACTTTTCAAAAACTGTCTTGAAATGCTAAAAATGGCTTCCTAAGACTAATATCTTTCTTTTTTTTATTTTAAGACAGTTTTTTAACAGTTCAAAAAGTCGTCAAAATTGATCAAATGGTAAGGCTTACCCCTTACCCCTTACCAATTTGGTCAATTTTGACAACTTTTTGAACTTTTCAAAAACTGTCTTGAAATGCTAAAAATGGCTTCCTAAGACTAATATCTTTCATTTTAATTTTAAGACATTTTTTAACAGTTCAAAAAGTCGTCAAAATTGATCAAAATGGTAAGGCTTACCCCTTACCATTTTGGTCAATTTTGACGACTTTTTGAACTTTTCAAAAACAGTCTTGAAATGCTAAAAATGGCTTCCTAAGACTAATATCTTTCATTTTAGAGCATTTTAAGACAATTTTTTAACAGTTCAAAAAGTCGTCAAAATTAACCAAATTGGTAAGGCTTACCCCTTACCCCTTACCAATTTGGTCAATTTTGACAACTTTTTGAACTTTTAAAAAACTGTCTTGAAATGCTAAAAATGGCTTCCTAAGACTAATATCTTTCATTTTTGATTATTTTAAGACAGTTTTTTAACAGTTCAAAAAGTCGTCAAAATTGACCAAAATGGTAAGGCTTACCCCTTACCCCTTACCCTTTTGGTCAATTTTGACGACTTTTTGAACTTTTCAAAAACTGTGTTAAAATGCTAAAAATGGCTTCCTAAGACTAATATCTTTCATTTTAGGGCATCTTAAAACAGTTTTTGAACAATTGAAAAAGTCGTCAAAATTGAGCAAAATGGTAAGGCTTACCCGTTACCAATTTGGTCAATTTTGACGACTTTTTGAACTTTTCAAAAACTGTCTTAAAATGCTAAAAATGGTTTGCTAAGACTAATATTTTTCATTTTAGAGCATTTTGAGACAGTTTTTGAACAGTTCAAAAAGTCGTCAAAATTGACCAAAATGTAAGGCTTACCCCTACCATTTTTGTCAAAATTGACGACTTTTTCAATGTTCCAAAAACCAACCATATACGCTCTAAAATGAAAGATATTAGTCTTAGGAAGCCATTTTTAGCATTTTAAGACAGTTTTTGAACATTCAAAAAGTCGTCAAAATTGACCAAAATGGTAAGGCTTACCCCATGCTGCCATTTCCAGCAGGTAAACACATTTTTGAAAATTTCCGAGAGCGGTGAGTTGCCAAACTGGCAAGGGGTACCTCTTACTATTTTGACAAAAATTGACAAAAGTTTTAATTTTTTAGTAAGGAAGAGGATTTTTTGTTGAAACATTTCAAATCATTCCATAAGAGGGTCTGAGGGTGCTTAAAAATAAAAAATACTAGTGTCGAAGTTTTTAAAGAGACACTTGTGTCAACAGATTGTAGAAAATTTCCAAAAATGATAAATTTATAGAAAATAGAAAAAAACTGGACACAGAGAAATTTTCACAAAAATTGACCAGAAATTAAAGCACACAGGTGTAAATTTGAGACAAGAAAAAAATTAACACATGAAAACCAATTGTCACAGAATAAAAAAAAAATAACTGGAAACAAAAAAATTGTCATATAAGAAAAAAATTAACATGAAAAAAAAATTGGAACAGACGCTACAGAAAAAATGTTTATGGGAAAACATTTTGACACAAGAAATAAATTTTGACGGGAAGAAAAAATTAACACAAGACAAATAATTATATTGAAAGACCAAAGGGTATCCCTTACCATTTTGGCCAATATTCAGAAATTTTCAATGCTCTAAAAACAGAGGCAATTTGCTCAAAAACTGAAGAGATTAGTCTTTTTAAACATTTAAAGCCATTTCCAGCATGTAAAAACATTTTTGAAAATTTCCGAAAATGGAAATTTTAAAATCATTTTTGCAATTGCAGTACCAAATAAGTTTTTTGAACGAACTTAATGGAGAACGCTGAAAAGGTTAAATCCTTGCCAGTCAAAAGTAGGACGCGAACGCGACGACGACGGTTATTAATACAATTGGTCATTGAAAAGAAATGAATAATTAAAGACCCCTGATGGTTTTAGACGTCGTCTTCGTTTTGTTTACAACGGGAAAACGTCTTTATTTACGTCTTGCCTAGAACGGTTGCATTTCAGGACCCAGCGAGCCCTACCTCGAATTAGGCCCTATAGAATTGCTTTAAACATAAAAACTATGTTTTTAACGCCTTATATCTCAATAAATCGGTACAAATAATAATATGCATCAACCACTTTGTTATAGCATTTATTTAAAGGAGAATTTCAGCCGCGTCCTCGTCGTGTTGCCGTCCTAAATGCTTAAGGTCCCTAATAACCGAGACGAAGTCGAGGCTAATATTCCCCGATAATCACCGAGCCTAAGGTGAAAAATTGTTTTAGTATTTTTGCGCAAGTGAATTGACACAAGAACTGTATTTGTTCGCTTATCTCTTTGTAAGAAACGTCTACAAAACGGCTAGCCGCCATTTTGAGATTTGTTATATTCACCTAGCTGAACAGCATAATATTTCAAATTTGACCAATCAGAATGTAGGATTTGTTTTATTCACTTGTACAAAAGTATTGAAATCTAATATAAGGAAGAAAAAGCAACTCATCAATAAACTAAGTGCTGAAATTAAATCCATGCAAGATTTTAGCTACTACATATATAACGAATATCACTTTGTGATCAAAATATTCAAGATGATATTTGTTTTCCTCAGCCCTCAATGCCTATGAATACGATACAAGCATTCGAGCATTGGCAAAACATTTTGATGGATGCCAATGCACAACTGGAGGATCAACAAGATTCGATTGCATTCGACATTGCAACTTTTTTGACACTCCAACACCAAGCCGATACTTCATAGAAAAGTATACAAGGATGAAATTTGTTCAAAATTAGAAGTTTGTTGAAGCGAAGCCTGTTCTATCATATAATTTATAGCATTTTTAATGCTCTATTATATAACATAAATCCTCACCAGTTTCTACACATTTTACGTCGTGCAATTGACGCAAAATTCGTTCCAGTCAAACGTCTGCCAAAGACATGGAAAATACGTTTTACTACACCACTGTTCCTAAGTTTCACTCAGAAATGCATGCTACATTTTCGGAAAAGGTTTCTTGACATATTTTGTGTAACATAACTCAACGCATCAATTTCAGTGTATTTTTCGGCGTACTCGCCAAGTCTGCGAAGCCAACGTTTCATGAATCCGAAGCGCATCTCGCATTACATATAATAGTGTATGGTAAAGGAGATCTACTCCATGATCAGCTTGCATCCTTCTTAACTGTTTTGTATCCTTCTTTGCTGTTTTTATGACTGACGCTTCATCGAAAAAATGCGAAAAAATGTGGATTCTCATCTGCGCATGCTGGCAAGTATTCACCGAGTTTTAGCTCATTTCCAGGTGGCAACGATTCTCTTGAAATTTTGTGTACCCGCTTGTACGAATACCAAATAAAGATCTTCATTTAGTGCTCGAGATATATTTGCGCTGAACAATTTTCATTCACGAAAATAATTACAATATTTTAAATTGTTTTTTGTTAAGGATAAGCGATTTGGAATTGCAGACATAGAACTCCCTTCACTCCAAAGATTTAATATTACTTTTTAGGTTTGAATCGAGACCGCTTGGGTATTCATAGCTCACTTAGTTTTCAAGTTGATTATACAAAATGAATTTCTGAATTTCAAATCGAATTTCGGAAATTAGTTTTGAACTTCCTAACGTAATTAGCAATTTCCCAGCCCACTTGTAATAATGTATAATCAACATTTTCAATTAAAATCCGGAGCACGACGTTTTCTTTGCAGCTGTTCATCAGATAACGTTCATCTTGATAACATTCAAAAAATGCGGCCAGTCATGCTAAAAGTTGTTACCTTGTCTCTACTTTTGCTTGCGATTGTAAGCATTAATGGAAACCAGTGTGGACAGAAAAATTACTTCTTTACAGAGGGTATGGGGATTTTACGAATCTGTCAAATTTTTTTACACAGTAAAAAGTTTTATTGTTAAAACTTAAAATTTCAGGTGGTCCATCATTACCTGATAATGCGTTAATATCAAGGCACAACATTACCTCTTCATTTGTTATGTTTGAATGCTACACTCGCTGCAAAGACGAAGTTCAGTGCGTTGGATTCAATTACAGGACAACAATAAATATTGAAAATTGTCAGCTGTCGAACGCAAACAAGAATAGCAACTTAACAAAAGGAAATTGGATATTAGTGCGTGAAGTTGCGGTATGTTTAGAAATTTCGCAGAAAAAGTATTCTAATTTTTGTGCAATAGTACGATATAAACTAGAAGAGCTTTCACGGGATGTTCTGTTGCAAATAGTAAGAGCCTAGATGTCATGACAACGTGATTTAATTAGTCTCTTGCGGTCAATATTTAATGATAAAAGCAGCTTAATCAATAGAAATCGCGAGGGCCGATTCATTTGCATTTTGTCAAGATTAACAAATCAATATTGTCATTAGTACTTGTTAAATCATTGCTCAATTTTAGTGGAAATTCGTTGAGATGCGTGATGCACGTTCGGAATGTTTTTTTATATTTTTACTAGAAATACATGCATGCAGCAACCCCTCCTATTTCAAACCAAGTAAAAAATGAACTAACCTGACCTAAAAGACCCACGTATATTATGAAATGACGCAAATTCTGAAAGTCTTATTATATTTTATCGAGTATATTATAGTTAATGTTTCCATCATTCGGCACAAAAATGAACATAAAGCTAGTGTAAACATTGTCATTAGCCGTTCAATTTTTGTTGCATTTAATAAGCCATGGCATGCAGCATTAATTTAAAATTGAAGCTTCAACCTTTAAGACAGTACACAATTTTCAGAGACAAAGAAGAAGCTTCAAATATTATTTTATTTCGTGAATTTCAGTTGACGCTAAAAGTTTTATAGTATATAGTGATATTTGTCATATCAAAATTCAAATTACACTTTCAAAAACACTTTCTGAAGTTATAAAGGTGTAATAGCCTTTCACAGTTGGTTTATTCATGGCTTTGTAGAACGGCATACAAAGCAGAAAATTATAGAATAAACTGCATCCTTACCGCGAAGCAAATACAGAATAAAAAAAGTAAAAACGTACTCTTTTAAACCTCTGGTGCCGGTTGTATCAAGTCCGTTTAGCTTAAACGGTGGATAAGTTCAAAATAGAAAGCAAGTCTATCGTTTTATTCAAGAAGCAAACTAAATGTTTTTTTACCTTAATACAAAGTTACTCGGTTTACAACTACAAATTCAGTGCATAATATCAAAGTTGACTCATTTAAGAGAGATGTAAGAGTATTATTTAATTATGACTTATCCACCGTTTAAGCTAAACGGGCTTGATACAACCGGCCTTGATCATGCACGGCCCAGAACATATATTAATTTTATGCTCGAGCGAAAGCGTATTTGTTTTTTCTTGTTTTTTTAAAGATTTATTCACCAACCGTGTTGACGTTTTTTCTAATAGAACCCAAACAATCAGAGAAATATTTCATTTTGTTGGTATTTATTAAAAAAAGGAAATATTGAGTAATGGAAAAGTAATAATTTATTTTCTATTTTTAATTAATTTCTAATAGACAAAGAATGAAGAGAACAGAAAAATAAGTATGACCAATAATTTAGGTAATGTTTTTAAATCATCCGTACCAAGGTCAAAAATTCTGCTTTTTCCTAATCCCAGGACCTGAATATCAACTGTGTTAGCAAAATTAAATAACAATGGTAAGAAACATATAAACAGCTCTAAAACTATAACCTCGCTGATACGGCAGAGCTAGCAACTTCCCAAAAACAAAAGCGAGAGAGTTGGTACAATACATAATTATTAACTATAAAGTGCAGAGTGCATAATTACATGGTGTGTATACATAGTATAAAGAGTGCAACAATTTTGCTAAATTAAAAAACGTTCTGCATAAAACTCGCGACGTTTAGCAGTGATGTAAGAAAGCAAACGCGATTGCTGATGTATTCAGCAAAACAGTTATTTGGCTTTGCGTTGTGTGTTTCACGTTTGTGGTATGAAATTTAATGTTTGAAAGGCTGCGGGTGTAAGCAGTTGTTCAAACATGAAGTTTTATATACGGTACATGAAACAAATATACGGTAGAGCTGAATTTGCTGCTTTGCCAAATAGCTTTCATTGCTTTCTTATACATTACTGCAAAACATCACGGGTTTTATGTAGAACGTTTGTAATTTAGGAAAAATGTTCAGCAAATTTTATGACAGTGGGGTTAACACACAAAGTTTGTTAGCGGTTTGGCGTTTGACGTAGTAAACGTCAAGTTAATTAAGATCTCTAATATCTACTGTCCTTCCAAATATTATCCAAAAATATATTAATTCCAAAGCTGAATTATTCTATATACAATAGTTTGTCATTAAAATATAATTTGTCATTCTCACTGACACAATTTAATGCAATAAGAAAAAACTGTATGGTATACTGTATCCCTTCGATCGTCTTCTAACTTCTTTAGCAAAAATGTATGGACAGATTTTAAATATTAATTATTCCAAATCAGGTCTTAACTGTGCTGATATATATGAAAAAGGAAATAACCAAAATGGAATTTATGAAATTGATCCCGACGGAAAGGGAAGTTTCAGAGTGTTTTGTGATATGACAACATCAGGTGGAGGATGGACTGTATTTCAACGTCGTCTTGATGGAAGTGTTGACTTCTACCGAGGATGGCAAGATTACAAACACGGTTTTGGTAACTTAAGCGGAGAATATTGGCTTGGTCTTGACAAAATACACAGGATGACAAATATTTCACAAAATGAACTTCGTATCGACATGGAAGATACATCTGGGAACACCAGATACGCTCATTATGATTCATTTAATGTCAGCAGCGAAAATGAGAAGTACAAGTTGAATGTTGGAGCTTATAATGGTACGTATAGCGTTTTAAAGACCAGTGTGAACTAATGAAGAATATTTACAAATACGCGCAACTTATTACGATTAATATTAAAAAGTGTTCTGAGGAGGGCTAAAACACATTTATGCCCGCGAACATATTAACTTTAAAGCCAAAGCCACAAAATACACCGCAATGCCCGCCAAAGTTAATATATATATATATATATATATATATTTATATATATATATATATATATATATATATATATATATATATATATATATATATATATATATATATATATATATATATAATGTTAATTGCGTTCGGCTTGCTGCAATATAATAAAAAAAACGTTACTAAACGCTACTAAACTTAATAAGTATTTAAAAAATACATGCAAATAAAAGATTAAAACAATTTCAAAAATATACTTTTATTCTTAGTTTCCCTGAGTCTGACGTCAGTTTTTTCAACTGACGGCCGCAGTTTCCGATTCTGAATTTGATGCTTACTAAATACCAACTTTAAATATATGATTACACAATTATTATTTCAGCTTATATATACATGTAAACCTCAAACACACGGAAACGAAAATAATTTAGGGTGACATAAAAAGGTTTTGAAGTCCTAAAAGTATTTAATTCATACTTTATGAAATACTGTTTAAACTAGAAATACATGCATGCAGCAACCCCTCGCTATTTCAAACCAAGTACACAATTTCCTGAGTTAACCTGACCTAAACTTATATTATGAAATGACACAAAACTCAAATCAGTCTTCAAGTTTCCATCATTCAATACAAAAATAATCACAAAGCTAGTGTAAACATTGCCCGTTCAATTTTGCTGCATTATACCATGCCAGCAATTAAGTAACGGTTTAAAATCGAAGTTTCAAACGATTAAAACAGTACAAAATCTTCACAGACAAAGAAAAAACTTCAAATGTTATTTTATTCTGTAATTGCAGTCGACGCCTGCGGCTAAAAGTTTCAGTATACTTTATAAATATAGTGTGTATTTTTGATACCAAAATTCAAATTACACTTTCAAAAACACTTTTTGAAGTTAAAGCAAAGGTGTAATAGCCCTTCACAGCTTCCTAATCTCCGGGCGGAATTAGTACCCTCGCACGGTGCTCCGCACCGGCTCGGGGATTATTTTGAAGCTAATATTAGTTTAAAGGTGAAAACTTCGGTATCACATAAGCTATAAAGAGTTGATAGTAATAAAAAATACGAAATTCTTCATGCACATATTTCGAGTTTAATATTAAGGCGAATCTAAATACAAAGCTAAAATACTAGCAAATTAAGATTTACAATATAGCTGACAGATTATATTTGCTATATTTGGCAGCTGTTATTATTTATCATGATGATAATTTGTAAGGGGCATCGTCTCTTAAGACACAGTCCTATATCGAATAACTTCTTAACGACAATATTTCTTTCCCTGTAGGTACAGCCGGTGACTCGTTATCAATTCATAACGGTATGGCTTTCACCACCAAAGATTCCGACAATGATGCTCAGCTCGTAAAGAACTGTGCAGTGGAATACAAAGGAGCCTGGTGGTATCGTGGTTGTCATTTTTCCAATTTGAATGGTTTGTATCATTATGGCCATCACAAATCGCACGCTGATGGAGTCAACTGGTACCATTGGAAAGGATACGATTATTCTCTGAAATCAGCTTCGATGAAGATACGACCACGTGTATTTGGAACTAAAAACTGAAATTGTAGCATTCAGAAACATTTTGAACGAACAACTTTTGAAAAAAAAGCTTATTTTCGTCGACTGTTTACTTCCTTAGTTTTGACTTTTATGTAGTAGAATCTTTGAAAAATTAGTCTAATGAGATGACGATTTTTAGCCTAATTTTTTCTTAAAAATTGTGCCTGTAGGACGCGGCCTCGTAAAGATGCGCAGCTGATTTCTAAAAATTGGGTTACGGCACCAATTTTAGCCGTGCCGTTTCAATAATGTCCGCGTAATGTAAACAGGGCTTCAAATTAATACAAACCAACTAATATTGCTATATGACTATTTATAGCTATAAACGTTTACCTGTTTTGTTGAGTATGTATAACTTCAAAATTAAAAGAGCTATTCATTAAACTAAGATTATGCTTTTTATATTCTCTGCATGATGTGTAACTTAAATTGTGATGTATATATATAGCATGAGATTTTCATTCAGTTAAGTCATGCAATTTTATTTGAATAGGGTAAAAACTTCAGTACTGATAAATTAATTACAAGTTATAAATTGATTAGGACTGGTTTACAAGTTTGCCGTATGGGAGTAATCTATATATTATTATTATTATTATTATTATTATGTACATTCAATGCTTTCTAAAATAATGGTAAAGAACGAAGCTTTCGTATATTTTAAGGCAAATTGTTCAACAGTGCTGCCACACTTGGCACGAGGCTTGGGTAAATTTAATTTTATTTCGGAATTTATACTCTCAACATGACGTCATCTATCAATCAGATGTACACTGTAAAAACTGAATGGTCGAAATGACCAAAAAAAGGTTGCAACCATTTAAAATGGTTTTTTCAACCAATTAAGTTGGTTAAAACCAAATTAAAATGGTAGAACTAACCAATAAAAAATTGGTCAAATGGATATGAAAGCTCATATTGATCAAAACAACCAAATATGTTTAGTAGCAACAAATAAAATTTGGCTAAATTGACCAAGTACTCTTTGCGGTCAATGGGGTATATTTGTACACCTCTGGGGCTATAGCATATTCTAAATCCTATAGAATATTCTATATGAGACCTTCATGACAATTTAAAATATAACATGTTTGTACACAATTGATTGGTAAATATTATAAATATGATATTTATAAATATTCTTTTGGCAAATAGCTTCCGTCATCCCTATTTCGGGCACAAAGACTCGCATTAATATGCCAGGCTTCCAAACAACGCTTTTGTCCATAACGATTGTTAGTGCATGATAATGACTTTAGAGTCGTTTCACACAATAGTATGGTTTGTTTGACAAACATATTCCGCCAAGGATGATTTTGAACTTTTGATGTTCTTTTAAACGTGTGCCGCGAACTGACGTTTTGTTTCACCTAGATATTCTTTCTTGCAATCCCCACATGGTATAACATCCAGTTCTGTTTAGTCGCTACGCGATCTTTGCGTTTAGCGAAAATATGTCTCAACATGTCTGAAAGGGTTTTACGGCAACTTTGATACCACATTCTCCCAGGATCCTCCGAATTAGTCCTGCAACTCCTTGAATGTATGGGGCTACAGCAAAGCCCGTTTTACTGCAAATACTTCTTTTCAATTCAAATTCAATTTTTGTTTGATGCCATTTCATATGAAAATTGTCCCGCTTTCATGTTGAGAAAACGAACATTTTAGCCGCACAACATTTAGTATGCAGACGTAAATGAAGAAATTAAACATATATTTCTCGTCTGCGAATTCGTGGAACTTGCAATTTAAAAATAAAAAAATGCCCGAGAGACCGTATGACCGAAAAGCAAGTATTATTATGCATTACTAATGCAAACTCGATTGTGATTTGCTAAAAACCTACAAATGATTCTCAATGTCAGTCTTGCCACCTACACGACATTGAAAATTATCCGTAGGTGACGTAATTTTTTGCAGCTAGTCTGTTATCAATAATGGCCCAGGCTTCCTTTCTAAAAAGGAAATACATAATAAAACAACTATTGGATTCGGAATTCGGAATTATCGAATAACGCAAACTTCGGCTTGATAATTCTCGATATCACACTCAATCTCATCCAATAATTGTTGAATATTGCACGAAATCCAATTTATACTCAATTTATTGCGAAGACACGCCTAAAATATAAGTACCCGCGTACACTCATGCAATTAATTGTGAAGTTACGGCTAAAATATGATTACGCGAACCCAACTCCATTCGTTTCTCAGATTGCCAATAATACATACATGTAGGTCGAGCACGGAAATGGCACGGGTACCCATTTTAGCTGTGCCTTGCCAAAAATGAGTGTAGTTGTATACGCTGTTTATACCCCTGCGACAATACGCTGCGACAGCGACGGAGTTGAAAATTCGCCTAGGTTTTGTTTTTTTATTATTATTTTTCGTCGATGTGGTCGTATATGGGCGCGTTGACACGTCGCAGTTTGTACAAGATTGAAAATTTAATATAAACGCGAATTCCAAAGGTAAAGTGTAAGACAAAGTGAACGTGTCATGCAGTTTATTTACATTTTTGAACAATTGAACTTCTATACTTTTTAAAGTACGATGTGCTTCTGAATTTCGCGATCAAAAATTTATTGGTTCGCAAGGCATCTTAATGAGTGGTGAACTGTATTGTTTATTTGTTTATGTTCAGAAGCTTTATATTGAAGACTGGCACGTGCGCGGCACGCCGGAGTTAACGCCAGAAGAGGCGTCTATATAATAATAAAAACATAATTAATCAAGTATGATTAATCAATCTGATCAAAAAGTCAGATAGAAAGCGTGGTATAGAAAATATGTTCAACTTCGTGTCACTTCAGTTTTGCATAATTATCGTATATCGGAAAATCGGAAAACTGCGGATATCAGCACTTTGGTGGAAGTGTGGAACTGTAAATCTAAACATTAACTTGGTAATCATTAGTAAAGCATTGCTAGAGCTTCCTATCTAACCAATCCGTTCATTTTTTAATTAAGCTTCAATTTGAATGATCAAATATCCACATATCGGTCACATTCTAAATTATTGGTATACAAAAATAGCAAGGGTTTAATAAAGGGTTTTAATTTCGACTGGAATTATACACACTTCAAATTTAATTCAGGAAAAGTTAATGGAAAAATGAGTCAACTATCGGTCCTCCGGCAGGAATCGAAGCTACGCTTCTGCGCTTTTGCACAGTGGCAAGAGCATTGCACCGGCATCGCAAAAGATTAGGTTCGATTCCTGCCGGTGGACCTATAGTTGACTCATTTTTCCTTCAACTGTTTCTGCCTTGAATTTGAAGTGTGTATAATTCCACTCGAAATTAAGATCCTTTAAACCTCTAGAATTTACGTGCACCGAGTGAAATGCGAAAAATTACAAAAATAGCAGTTGAATAATACATTTTCACCTATCGATGGCTTTATTATTACTTTCTTAAAAACAATAAAAAAATGCTTTTTTAAAAAACAATACTTTATTACTTTTTGTGCTTTTTAATTAAGAGAAAACAATTTTTTGTTAGTAATTGCTTTATACCTGTCACTAAACTTTATTACTTTGTTTTTCGTCCTAAATGCAGCTGACATCATGCATATATTGCGCCTACGATTTCATATTTTTTCATTCGCCAACCACTGTAAGTTTTATACACTAAGTGCATGGAAGAAAGCTTGATTTTAACGATGCTTGGAAGAGGAATTTTGACATTGCTGTTGTTTGCAATTGCAAACATCAACGCCAACTATTGTTCTCAGAAGAGATACGGGGCGATCACAAGCCGTGAGTACTGTTTTGTATGTTTGCTGGATAAAATAACATGCATATACATACAATAAAAGACTATTTTACGAGTTTCGTTAACATTCCTAGGGGGTCCATCTTTACCTGCTGGTATAAGATAATATCAAGACACACAATTACGTCTTTGTTTGTTATGTTCGAGTGTCACACTCGCTGCAATGACGAAGAAAAATGTGTTGGATTCAACTACAGAACAACAAAAAACGTTGAAAATTGCCAACTGACAAACGTTACCAAGAAAAGAGACAATAAAACAAAGACAGGAGATTGGATATTGATGTATGGTGTTGGAAAGGTAGGAAAATACTTACTCGTTAGTTCAATACTGATAAAGCCATTATAGAGGTGTGTCTGACAAAACTAGAAGATTTTAAGTTGTCGAAAAAAAAACTGTTGGCTAAAATATCTCCAAAAATGTGGCTATTTACGCCTAAGTATTTTATCATCTGGCTTGTTTAAGAGTAAATACCATGTGTATTTTGATACAGTATTCACCGAGATATCGATTAGTCAAAAATAGCATATTAAAATAAGAAATGATAATATTGTTCGTTTTCAACGTTTCATCGTATATGACTTCTTGAGCATAGTTAATTCTTGCGTATTCTGTGCAAACCCATGCATATTCTGTCAAACACATGTAAACTCACTGTTGTATCGTTAAAGAGGCATATTAAGATAGGGAACATGAAAAAGCAGAATTCGTGCGAAATTGTTCGTTAAATTTGTGCGCTATCGCGAACGAGCTTTTTCCCCCCATGGGACATGGACCAGTCTAAACTAAAATATAGCAAAATGAATTTTTGCTTTAACGCTTTCCATCATGTCATAACACAGAAAATAAAAATACCTCATTCATTTGACAAATGTTTCAATTTAAACTTCATTAAAACAGACGAATACGCGCGATAAAATACTCACTTTAATATGCCATTTTTAGCAAATTTTACACTTTTCGAAAGTGCATACTTAAATTGAAACCACGATATCTCGGACAAAACTGAATGAAAACCTCATGCTATATATCACAATTTAAGTTACACATCATGCAGAGAATATAAAAAGCATAATCTTAGTTTAATGAATAGCTCTTTTAATTTTGAAGTTATACATACTCAACAAAACAGGTAAACGTTTATAGCTATAAATAGTCATATAGCAATATTAATTGGTTTGTATTAATTTGAAGCCCTGTTTACATTACGCGGACATTATTGAAACCGCACGGCTAAAATTGATGCCGTAACCCAATTTTATTAGTAATCCAACATTTTTATAAATGGGAAAGTAAACCGAATACTTAAAATATTCGTTTTGATGGTTTTATTTCTTACTTCATGCAGCATTTTCTCCTAATTCATTTCAAATAGGCCGAAAATAAGGAGGAAAAAAGAAAAAATGCCAAAAGAAACTTAGCTGTTTCCAATAATACCAAAATTACTAATAAAACTGTTACTGAATATCTCTGCGCTGATCTGTATAAAAAGGGAAATAAACAAAGTGGAATTTATGAAATTAATCCTGATGGAAAGGGAAGTTTCAAGGTGTTTTGTGATATGACAACATCAGATGGAGGATGGACTGTATTTCAACGTCGTCTTGATGGAAGTGTTGACTTCTACCGAGGATGGCAAGATTACAAACAAGGTTTTGGTAACTTGAGCGGAGAATATTGGCTTGGTCTCGACAAAATACACAGGATAACAAACATTTCACAAAATGAACTTCGTATCGACATGGAAGATACATTATTATTATTATTATTATTAAAAACTTTATTTACCCACGCTAGCCTCGACAGCATATTTATATATAGCTGATTTCCACGAGGGGCGTCACACAAATAATACAATGTAGTATAAGTACTTTAAAAAAAAAGAGTTAAAAATGTAAAATACATAAACGTATTTGACACGTGTGGCACAGCATCTTCCACTAATTTACTGCTATTTCTCGTTTAAAGCAGTTTAAAGTATCTGCCGATTTAGCTGCAGGTGAAAGGTTGTTCCATAGCATGGCGCCGCTGTACTTAAAACTTCTTCTTAGATATTCCGTTCTGGGTTTTGGAAGAATTAAATCCTTTTCACTACTTCTAAGATTATAAGTATTTTGTTTCACACTCTTTTTACAGAAAGATTCTTTTAGACTTGGGGCGGCGTAGCCATTTAACACTTTGTACATAAATACAGCCTTGGATTTTTCCCTTCTATTTTCGAGTGTTTCCCAAGACAAGGTATTAAGAATATCTAGTGACCTTTCTTCGTAGGTGGTACTAGTTATCACCCTTGCTGCGCGGGACTGAAATTTCTGCAGTTTATCTTGAAGCAATTTACCGCAGTTTGACCACAAGGTAGAACAATAGTCAAAATGCGGCTGGATCAGTGCTTTATAAATGGTTTGTAACGTATTGGTGTTGACGTACGGTTTAGCGCGCTTTATAGCTCCGATACCAGAACTTGCTTTCTTGCATATTTTATCAATATGTTTTACCCAACTTAGATTTTCATCAATTTCTACTCCTAAACTTTCAAAAGAATGAATTAATGGTACTGGTTTGTCGTCAAAAATTACAGCATTTTCACCAACCTTATTTTTAAGGTTATACGGTGATCCAATAAACATCAATTTGGTTTTAGTTGGGTGGTGTTGTAACTTATTTTTGAAAAGCCAACTATGCAAGTTTTTTAAGTCCTCATTTAGATTTTGGACAAGAGTATCATAGTCATGTGATGATGCAGAAATTACAGTATCGTCAGCATAAAGATAGGGAGTTGTAGATTTTAGGCACTTTGGCATATCATTAATATATAATAAAAATAGCAACGGGCCAAGGATTGAGCCCTGTGGAATTCCACATATTATTTGTTTAGGTGACGAAACCTGACTATTGACAAGGCACACTTGTTCTCTCTTTGTTAAATAAGATTCAAACCATTTTAGCTCAGCTCCATGAATTCCAAATTGCGTTTTCATCTTTTTTAGTAAAATAGAGTGATCAATTGAATCAAAAGCTTTTCTGATATCAAGAAAAACAACGCCATTTAGCATGCTATTGTCCATATTCTCTAACCATTGATCGCACATTTGGATCAGTGCTGTCATAGTGATTTGGCCGGAAACCTGATTGATGTTTGGAGAGCAAGAGATTTTGAGATAAATGGTCATATAACTGATCAAAAATTTCCTTCTCAAATATCTTACTTATTATCGGTAGAATTGAGATAGGTCGGTAATTGTCACACTTTTGTCTGTTTTCAGATTTAAAAATTGGTGTTATCCTAGCCATTTTCCATGCATCAATATAAGTACATGTGTTGAGAGATAAATTAAAGATGGCGGTTAATGATGGTGCTATTATATCTGCGGATATCCTAAGTATTTTAGCAGGTATATTATCCAAACCCGTCGCTTTTGAGATTTTGAGTTGCCTCAGACTTATGGCAACATTGATTGGGCTAATTAAGGAAAAAGCAAATCGAGGGCCAGAAAAACTATCGGAGCAATCCTGAGAATCTAAACTGTTTGTAGGTTCACACATTTCAGCCGCTAATTTAGGACCGATTTGTACGAAATATTCATTAAAAGCGTCAGCTATTTGTTTGTCGTCTACGATAACTGAATTATTGATATGAAGTTCGTTAACATTGGGTGATTTCTTACTTCTATTTAATAGGGTGTTTATCAGATTCCAACTTTTTTTAACATCTTTACTATGTGAGCATTCTTTAATTTTGTCTCGAAAATAAGTTTTTTTAGCGCTTTTTATTGCAGCATTAACCCTGTTCCGTTCTGATTTATACTTATTCCAATGTGCCGTAGATGAATGTTTTATTGCATGCTTTTTATGAAAATCTCTGGTTCTCATTAATCGTTTAACGTCAGATGTTATCCAAGGCACCGAGCTGCCTCTTATTCTCTTGCACCGAATAGGCGCGTGCCTATCAAGTATCTCGAGAAAAAGGGATCTCCAAACATGCCAGGATACATTAGGATCGTCAAATTGGTGTACAATTTCCCAAGGGATTTGCGATATTTCTTCTATAAAATCGCTTTCAACAAAATTTTTGTAGTCACGGGTTTCTTTATAAGTGTGCCTTAATTTCGGTACTTTAATACTTTTAACTGCAAAAATCAAACTGTGATCCGATATTCCAAGATGGATCACGCCAGAATTTATTATATTTTCAGATCTGTTTGTTAAAAAAAGGTCGATTAAAGTTGCCGATTCTGCGGTCACTCGTGTTGGTTCAGTGATTAATTGATCCAATTGGTATAAAGAACATGACAGTTGGAGTCTCCGCGTATGGGAGTCTGGAACTGCTTTAACAAGATCACAGTTCATATCTCCAACAATCATTAGTTCTTTATTTTCAAGATCGCATTTACACAGAAATAAATCGAGTTCATTAAAGGCGTCGTTATTGGAATTAGGCGGCCTATACCAAACACTTACTAAGAAAGCCACTCTATGTGGTCTACGTACTTCAATACATATCATTTCAAGCGTTTCTGGAAGGAGATCTTTCCTTTCAGAAAAGGATATATTTTCTCTAATGTAAAGGACTACGCCACCCCCAGATCTATTTCTATCATTGCGGATCATGTTATATCCAGCTATATTAATTTCATTATCTGCTACTGAATCATCAATCTTTGATTCATTAATTGCAAGAATATCCAAGGAAGAATTAGTCAAAAGCACACGGAGCTCATCTATATGTTTTAGTAGGCTATTTATATTCAAACTTGCTATTTTAATACCTTTTAATTTGCTTATTGCATGCAATGGATGATCAAAAATACCTGATGCTGTGCCACACGTTAAATCAGTTAACGTTTCCTTCTGCGGATGTCCTTCTGTGGTTGTACGATTATTTTCAACAATTCTCCAAGTTTCTGAATCGTGGAACTCTGAAAATCCTGATAACGTTGTTTCTGGGATGAGCTGGTCCACTGCTTCCCCTAAGAAAATTGATAAGATGAACGGCTAAAATGGCCGAGCCTTTCGCATTTAGATGAAGTTTGCTTCCATTTAGGCATGTGTCATCAATGGTTGAGTTGTCAATGAATGAGATATCTAGTTTCGTACAAATGAGCTCAAGTTCCTTGTTGACTTCGTCAATCTTTATGGACAAAGCGAGGTCGTGTCGCACTGTTAGACCTGATAAACCAATTTTCGAATAGGGAAATTGCGATTTTACTTTTGTGGCAAGCTTTTCAATCTTTGAGAGCATTCGGCAGCGGATTCCAAAGGGAGATTATTTGTCCAGCATGCAAAATTACATGGGACGGGATTGCTTTTAATTTATCAAAGTTGATCTCCATTTCAATCTGATCTGCAGTTTTTCCTGGATAAGTAAACTTATGCACCTTCTTCTTTGAAAGCTTTCTAGGTTGGATATTTTTAATTATCGAATCTCCTATAATTAAGATATCCGATCCAATTTCGTGTGTTTTAGGACTCTGTCCCTTCTTTTGGCGCACATTGGTAGATTCTTCTTGGTCATTTGTAGGATTTATTTCGTTACCCTTGGGATAATTGCCATCCCTAATCTCTGTTTGCGTCTCGTTGTCCGATATATCGCTTAAGGTTTGAAATCGATTATCTACATTGAGCGTGTGGGAAGTTGATGAGATTCACTTGCTTGCTGCTTTCTGTTACAGTTTTTGTCCTTCTGTACAACTTGAAAGTTGTTAGACATTTCAGCTGAATTAGTATTCTTTTGATTTAAATTATTCAGGCAAGCTTGATAATCGTTTTGTTGAAGCGTCAGAGCGGTGACTAGATCGGTTTTCTCTTGCTCTAAATTAATAATTTTGGTGTTAAGGTCTTTTATTATACTGTTAGCTTTTTCCAAATTGTTTCTCAGGTGAACCTTTTCGTTTTCACACGCGCTAATTTTACATACTTGTGTATCTTCGTCTGCTCGATTTTTAAGTTGTAATATATCACTTTCGATACGCTTGAGTTGTAGCGCTAGGTCACAGCAATAACACTGAGAATTGTCGAATTTATGTCCACTTTTAGCATGAGGCGTTTCGATTGAAAAATTGTCCGCATTATTTAAGTTTTTGCGTTCATGCTCGTTGACATTGGTCGATGGATTTTGAATGATTTTGACCGGGTTTGAGTTTTCTTCGGCTTTGCTACACGATAGATGTTCGTCATGATAATCTTCGTCACGGTTCTTGGCTTTATTTAACGAAGCAAATTTTACAAGTTTTTGTCGAAGGCTTTGATTCTCGTCGTCTTGAAATACCACAAGCTTTTGCTTCGTTTTACTATGCCACTTCAATACATAGTTTTTACTTGTGAATTTCTTTACTTCTCCGCCGGTAGATTTCCACTGCCCTTCGATTCCCAAGTCGGATTGTATAAACAATTTCAGATTCTCATACGAACCATTCCAAACCAATTCGTCATTTATTTCGATAAGATTTGATTGTTTAGCAGGTGTTGATGTCACCATACTATGTTCATCAATTTCTTGATTAAAACTAAAATGATCTTCAATAATAACGGAGTTGTCAAATACACGTCCATACGCCATGATGTCTACTATCACTACGCCAGGAAACACTGCATACGCTCATTATGATTCGTTTAAAGTCAGCAGTGAAAATACAATGTACAAGTTGAATGTTGGAGGTTATAGTGGTAGGTTATATCTTTACATGCATATACAGGGTGTATGCAAAAAACTGCAAATACCGTAATTTGAATCCACGTGATCACACATTAGAAATAATTCCTGCAATAGCTACGCAACTAATTACGCTTCTGGGATTTCAACACGGCCGGGAGCAAAATTTTCATAAGGGCCGGTCACGCCTCACAAAAATAAAATAATTTGTAGGTGTATGCATGAAAATATCTTCTCTTCTCTTCAGGATATGCTCAGTCACCATAGGGAATGCTTCATTTATATTTATTATATGATGATAAGTACAAAACATATACGTCACTGGTATTTTCTGTATTCATCACACTGGTTGACTGGTTCAATATGACACCTTTTTCACTCACTCGCTTGCGCTTGTTCGAAAATCGTATAAAATGTTGTTTTATCATTCAATAGTAAGAAAAATGAATTTTCACAGCTAGTTTAGGTTTCCACTTATCTATGTATCAATTTTGCTAACATCAAGTACGAGGATCGAGTTTCCTTACAATATTTTAAATGATAAATGCACACGTGAGCCGCGATTGTATTCTTATAATTTATGTTGTTTTATCCAAAAGGTTATTTAATTCATTTGACCATCACGACAGACCTAGAAATCCATGTATTTTGAAAAAAAAAATGTAAATATTTTTCAGATTATACTGTTTGGCTTAACGCTTTTGAGCTATTAATATAAATGATTTTGATGCGATTTTGAATATTTAAAACTCAAAACACCCAAAAAGCATTTAAGCCCTGGTGAAAAGAGAATGCGACTTGAAGAGAATTGATGAGCGTTGCAACTCGCGCTAGCGTTTGACCGCGAACTCTGACGCACTCTCATGCACTCTCGTGAACTCTCATCAGCTCTCATGCACTATCGACTGGTCGACTTTGAACAGGTTCAAATTTTGACGAGAGTTCGAGCGCGTTTGATCGGTCATGAATTGTAAAAAATATTCCCTGTTACGTGCGCGGTAATTTCCGGTCAACTCTCGCTTCTCAACTCTCCTTCTCGTTTAACCGGGGTTTTAGGCAACGAACATTAACTAACATTTCAAGTTCCTTTTATGTTTAGGTACAGCAGGAGACTCGTTAACAAATCAAAACAGAATGGCTTTCACCACCAAGGATTTCGACAACGATGTTTCAGATAATGGTAACTGTGCGGTGGATTACAAAGGAGCCTGGTGGTATCGTGGTTGCCATCATTCCAACTTGAATGGTTTGTATCATTATGGCAACCACACATCGTACGCTGATGGAATCAACTGGTTCCATTGGAAAGGACATCATTATTCTCTGAAATCAACTGCGATGAAAATAAGGCTACTTTGATATTGACGTAAAAAAATAAAATCGGAAACTTGTTGATCTAATTCTAAAGGATTTTTATGATCGAAGAATTATTGTGTATAATTTTACATGGAAGTTTCAAGATTATTTGATCTCAGTTTATAGTCAATGATCAACAGTACACAAATCAGTGGGAGTTTTCCGCATTTAACAACATGTCTGTAGAACGTAAAAGAACGTAAAAAAGTGAATAATAAATAGCCTTGTAAAACGGAATAGAACTTTCAGTTTCCCTGTACATCGCGGTCATACCGTGCCAAATGCATGGTGGTAGTCTATTGTTAAGTAACTTTTATTCTTCTACGTGAGGTTGGAGATCTTTACAATAATTATACTAACTAATGTTCATTAAATATTTTTTCTTCTGGATCTTCGTCATTTACTGTTTTGTCTTTTCGTCTGTTCTGTATTCTTGAGCTTCTTCAACGTTTCACATGAATTTTACTCCGTTGATTCACTGAAGGTTCGGGTGCAGTGCACGCCCTTTTATAGTAAAGGTTGAGGACTACTTGGACACGTCATCAACCAGAATGGGCTGATCCATATCCAACCAATCAGCGTTGTAAGTTAGAAATGTGGGTTGGCGTTAGAAGCTCGCTCCAGCTCTCATATCTTTTTTGTTTAAGGCGTTGTCGCGCTGGTCGAGTTGGTATTCTGCTTAATCGATCAATGACGTGTGGTGGAAGAAAATTATTGAAATACTCAAGACATCTCATTAAAAATCTCAAATGTAGAATTACATAGCGGTATTGGGAACCCTCAGAATATTATATCTTTGTTGTTTCTGAGTGCCGGCAGTTTGTCCCGTATTTTGCCTGACGATTTGTCAACATACACAATGACTGACGCAAAGAGCGTAGTTTGAAAAATGTTAGAATATATAAATAGCCATGCACCTATGAATTTCATCATGGATGAATAATGTATACGCATTTTTAGTAAAGTCCTAAATGTGTAAAATTTCCTAATTTTATATTAGCATCTAATTAAATACACTAACTACACACCTTAGCATCAAATGTGGTATAACAACTGCCTAAAATAGACAAAAACACTTCTCGGCGTTTCGACCTGAGGCACTTGAGATATAACTCTCATGACGACGTTCCCAAGCGAACGGCCAGTGGGAAGGTATTTTTTTACCTTGCGGTCGTCTGTGGTTTCGCAACCGAACCGTAACCGCAGTGTAAGATTATTTCTGGACAGTACTGTATCGGCACCGCACGGCTAAAATTGCTGTGACCCAAATTTGTAGTGCTCAGGATACTAATGCGCGAGCATGCAGGTATGATACTGGCAGTAGCACACGTTTAAGCTTTGCATGCTGTGTAAAAAACGAGTATAGTGTGAACGTTTAGTCTGTTCTACTATAGCTGCCATTCGATCAACCGAACCACCAAGGATTTCGACAACGATGTTTAAAATGGTGGGTTACAAAGGAGCCTGGTGGTATGCTCATCATTTACTTAATAGCATACACCAGGAGAAGAAGTTCGACGTCAAAAATCGCCCGTGTAGCCGGGACTTAGGATATTTAACAATGTTTATATGTTGTATTTATATGGAGTAAAAAATATACTTCCGCAATCTTGTCACATGCAGTCGCTTGAGTGCTGGGTACTTGCTATACGCAGTCTCATCCCCTTGTTCCCGTATAACTGTCACAGAATTTCAATCAAACTCACAGGTAAGTCTTTTTTAATACTATAATTCTATGCTAAATTATATTGTTGTAAAAAGAACAATGGCTAATTTATTTTATCATTATTATTAACAATTCGGCACAAAGTATGTGCGTGACACATATCTTTAAATCTCCCAACTTGAATTATTGTTTATTTGTCGTTTGCCAACCCATATCAACCCTTATAACGTTTTTGCTTGTGCCTTCGCCGTTGTACAATAATATATTAAAGGAATAGGAATTGCTCACCGTGAAATCACTGCATGAGTTACTGTGATAATTTACCAATCAACATTTAATCACATTATTTGTTAAATAATTGTGAATAATCAATAATTACCCAAACAAATTTCGTGAATTAGGTCACATGCACACCCTGTATACCCCATACAAATTAGTTTGAATAGATATGAAAATCAGTTGCAAACACTATAGTGGTTGCATCAGAAAAAAACAACCATTAGTGTATGTATCTGTTTTGCATATCTATTCAGTACAACACGGCCGCTCGGGTTGTAAACATTACTTATATCATGAGGTCATTCACATCACTATAAAAGAGCAAGAGACCTATTGCCAGAAACACTTCTAAAGCTTGGTTTTCATCACTCGCAGACAGTCAGCGATCTTTATTGCCCTTTGTTACCGATGCATAAAATGCTTTGTCCGTCAGAAAAATTTCTACTTCATTGGTCATCGACAATGGATCGCGGAGCATCCCCGACTGTCCGCGAGTGATGAAAACCGAATTTAAACTTTGTTTTTTGTAGCTTTGTGACATAAAAAAATGATGTTTCAAATTCGGCAAAATAAAATCTGATTAGCCAATTACATCACTATGCATGCACCTTACGGAAAAAGAGCAAGAGGCCTATTGCGAGATACACGAAAACGAGGTTAGTCAGGTTTTCTACTGCAAAAATTCCAGAATCACTTCTAAATTCCGGTTTCCATCACTCGCAGACAGTCAGCGATCTTTATTGTCGTTTGTTTTACCGATTCATAAAATGCTTTGTCGGTAGAAAAAATTCTACTTCATTGGTAATAGATCGCAGAGCATCGCCGACTTCCGCGAGTGATGAAAACCAGGAATAAATTTTTATTGAAAGACACTTCGTTTTTTTGTAGCTTCATTGTGACATAAAAAAAATGATGTTTCAAATTCGGCAAAATAAAATTTGATTAGCCTCGCGAGAAATTGTACTTCGGCACAGACTTCTTCCTCTTTTTCGAATAGGTTTATGCACTTCATCTTCCAAAATTGCTTTAGAGTAAAAAATTAATTCGTGAAAAGAATTCTGCCAAAACTGTGCCTGACACAGCATTTACAAAACAAACTAATTCTAAAAGTAAAGATATTCATGTAACTCATTCTCGTTATTTTGGTCCTAATTAATCGCCTAACCTAAACCTTCCTTGATATTCATTTGACTCAAGTCTCTGACAAAATCAAGAAAGATGAACAAAAATATCCTTCATTTTATAACCTCGTTTGTCTCACTAGGAAAATATTTTCCTTCACTTGCCAGGATTTCAAATTCTAATGTACGAAATCATGTTTTGTCAACTATAGGGACATAAAAATAGCTATAGCTTGAACATTCAATTCAATAAAGACGACTTGGGCTTTAGACTAATTTCTTATCGCAGCAATAATAATAAAATTTTCTGAAATTAGTATAATTGCCAAGTTTGGCAGCGAATTGTTGTAAATTATACGGCCAATAATATACGGAAAATATAGCCAGGCGAAGTTGTCGATTTTGTTTAATTTTGTACTACGGCCGGAAGTTTGCAAAATCAGTTAAACATTTCCGCGCGTAATACAAAGGAATACAAAATATGCTAACTTCGCTGGCTTTCAACTCCGTATTTTATCACATTTCAAAGTCAAACTTTGCATTCTAGCTGTGATGATTTACTTTCTTCTTATTACTTCGATCAAAAATTAGTCTAAAGCGCAAGTCGTCCATTGAAAATAATTTATATTCCTTAGATACATTCAGTGACATCGTAATTTTTTGCGTTTCTTATAGAGTTTTTTTTTAACCAATGGGGAAAAAACATGGAATAATGATCCATGTTTTAGAAGGAGTTTTCATTCATCGTCTTCCGTTAGGAGCAGTAAAGCAATAAAGATGGCATTTATGATTCGTGTGTGTAATATAAACTGATCGTTTAACATGCAATTTAAACATATTGTTGGTAGCGATTCTGTGTCAAATGATTAGTAGATTACTTATATCTTTTATAGTTCTGTAAATTTACATCACTTTGTGTGTAATTTTTGTAAATATTGTAGTTTTTGTTGGGGGATTTTTAGCGTGTGAACGGCCCCTTGAAAATCAATTGATAGCACTGAAGGGTTACCGCTTCGTAAATAAGCTTGTAAATAATATAAAAAAAATTAAAGAGGTGTATATTCAATATTCATGTACGCTTATTACAAGTACATAAACAAAGTATGTAATTTTTGAATTAATCGATCTCACACGCAGGTTATAAAGGGCCACAGCAGGAAAATCTCTTGGATACAAAATCCACTAATATTACACAGTTCAAACGTTTTCATAGACGCATTCTGTGTTCGTTAAATCCTTGACTATGTTAAAGTTAATTGGCTTTAAAAAGTTAAAGTTAATTGGCTTTTAAAATATATAAGACAATTTGCCTGCATGCGTGTTCCCGTTACAAGAAATCTCATTTTTAACAATTTACATCACGAAAGGAAAATTGAAAACTTTTCAATGCTATATGAATTCTGAAATATTTGTAACAATTGGAAACAAAAAAATTATTTTTAAATATTTTTGCACTATAATATTACACAATTATTCAAGCGCTTTCATATAGAAATATTCCGCCTTTCGTGCTAAAATAAGTTAAAATATTCTTTTAAAAATATCGCACGATTTCCGTGGTTTTTCTATTTCAGTAGGTTCCATGCAAAGCTGGAGGTTTTGATTTATGCGTGTTTTTCGCATTTAAACAAGAAATTGCATTCTCAACTACTTACATCCATTACAAGTAAATATTATAAATACTTTTCAATATTATGAATTTTGAAATATTTGTTGCCATTGCTTTCAACGAACAGAAGGGAACGCGTCGATGGAAGAAAGAAAAGAGGAAATACATTCCTAAAAAAAGAAAGATTACCAATGAATCTGGAAGCTATGATTCTGCCTTCCGACACCTTAACAAAATGTATCCATTTACGGCGGAAAATAGCGATCAAATCGGAATCAATATAAACAGCCCCGTCAAAGTCTAAAATAGGAAGTTCATGCAAGCTTTTCACACCATTTGGGAAAGTAATAGAAAGTAAACGAATTTTAGACAATGGAGAATCGACAAAGCTTTCAGGTGACAAGAATACTACACTGCGACTCCTTTTTGTACCAGATAAAGACCACCAACGAATATCCGGTAGATCCAACTCTCCGATTGAACGTACTATCCACGTGTTGCCACATTTCATTTCCCACAATTCATAAACTGAAACCAAATCAGACAATAACATAACAGCACACCCATCAGAACTTATTGCGACAGAAGGGTCAGTAAAACTACATGACGGCGTTTCTTGATAACACAGTTTTTCGTTACAAATTCTTAAAATAGAAAGTTTCCGATCGCCGTAAATCACAAGAACTCCATTTTTAAATGCAAGGACACGTTCATAAATTTCCAATAAATTCTGCATGTTGACTTCCAAAGATATTTTCACTCGTAGGTTCATAACGATATTTAACAACCAGACTTCCACAGACCAACCAAAGATACGACTCTGACCACCAACATGTTAACGCTCGTCGTTCCAGTGCAACAGTTTGCAATGTTTCTCCACTATCGACACTTCTTATTGAAAGAAGGCAATTTTCAAAACAGCACGCGACATACAAAGTGTCTGGAGAGAGTGCACGACAATCTATTTCGGCATTGTCAACAAAAGTAGCATCAGGCCAATCGAGGGATGAAACAAGTACTAGGTCACAACCTAAGGATAAAAGAAAACTCGTCCCATCTAATTTCAAAATGCTCTTAACAGAAGTATCACAAGGCAAACAGCCAATCTCAAAGACGTCAACGATCTTTTGGTTTATAAAATCGTACACTGCCAAAGCTAAAGAATTTTTGAAATCATTTGTAAACGCTACACATTTTCTGTTTTTCCACAAAAAGACTTTTGAGCAATATTTATTGGAAATAAGAACTGTCTGATCACATGGCAAACGGATATAATTCATTTTCATTCTAACATTCAAGTCTAACCCCGAATAAGGCGGCGGAAAAATTTGAAAGGAATCACTACTAGACAAATTCTGGTCAACACGAATATTCTTGTTATTAATCTTTTTCAAAGTTTCAGAATTCAAGACATTCGTGTAATCTAAGACTGAGGAACCAGATCTTTCCTGACCCATTGGCCAAAGAAGAATGTACGAGTTACAATTACTAAACAAACAATAAGATCGCGCACCATACACATTCTCAACTTCAACCAATATATTCTTGTTTTTTACATCCCACACTTTGATTGACGTTTTCTCTAATGTGACAAGTTTCATTCCACATGAAGAAAATGAACAGTAAATGATGTGATCGGGGCCGTGCGTAATGAAGGGAACCTCTTTCTTTTCTTTAATATTGATGCAAAACCGGATTGAAGTGCATAGAAAATACGAAGAATCTGGAGAAAAGGCAGATAATTGGAAATAAGGGCTTATCTTAGTAAGTTGTGCTTCAAAGATAGTTGTAAGTTCTGGTATTTTAAGCATTTGAACTTTCTGGTCTCGCAAATATACGCAAGCAAGTATCGTATTGTCCGGTGACACAGATGTAAAACGTAAACTTTCTGTAAACACGGCTTCGGGGACAATGCTTAAATTAGAATTGCTTTCAGTTGTCACATATTCTATCCAAATCTCATTTGTCGCACCCAAGATATCCCTAGCTCCACTTTTGGAATTGGCGCCACTTTGTAAAAAATCAAAGTGCCCATTAGCAAGTGCTTGCAAGTAGACGTAACAATGATCTTTACTATCGGTCTTAACAGCAGATCCAAACAATTTACGAATTCGTAAAATTTTGAAGAAACAATGAAGTTGAATGATGCCCAAATAAATATCTTTGGAAAGTTTAGAACAATACGTGCCAAGAATTCCACTGAAATCGAAATAGACAATCCGGCAGGGACAAAATTTTAGTTTCAAGAAGTTTATACCAACATGCACCAACCAATGAAACTCCTCTACCTCGCCTGTATCGACCAAATATTTCCAACCATTTTCTAAAGCGTACCTATTCTCGGGTGAAATTTGGAATTCTAAAACAGACTTCAAAGCATCTATCTCGCAGAATTGTTTCTTACAAGCACGCCAGAGACGTCTATTGCCGTCATCAACATCTGCAACGAATGCATGTTCTTCGAAACCGTTCAATGTCAGCCAATCCCATAATGACTTATGATAAACAGTCAGACATTGATCATAAACTGGAAGAATCTCTGACAATAAGTCAAGAACCGCTTTACGTACTTTAAATTCTTCTCTAGAGAGACCCATGCATGTGAAAAGAACTTTTATTGGCAGAGGTTCCTTAGAAACGGCAACGACATTAATAAAACTGTTTAAGAGACATGAAGTATCTTGCTTGAAACGTTTGAGGCCTATGTCTAAACGTTTGAACTGTTTTTCGTAATATCAGGAAATACCGTTGGAGATGTAATCACTTAGGTCGGGTTCAATTCCCACGCCCCTTTCTTTCAATTCACTGACTAAGTAATAAGCGTACAAAAACGATCCCTCACACTTTGAAATAACTGACCTTATACTATTATCATCAAAATTAGGTAAACTATGACGAACGAAAAGCTCTATGTCGTGGTTGTGATCTTTTTCATCAGGACGGATTTCCGACGGGTGAAGATGCTCAAGAATCTTTCGTACTGCTAGCTCTGGTCGACTTGAAATGAATATCTTAATCCAATCTGGCAGTTCACAAAATTTCTCAGATATCAACTCAAAAAATTCGCTTTTCTCTTCAGTTTTGCTCTCGTCCAAAGCATCAACGATGATCAACATTGGATCGTGTCTGTCAAGGGCATGGAGTGGGTCGCACAAAAGAACACGAAATGCGCCTGACAGCGAGTCACGAGAATGATCACGACGTAGAATTTCAGTTAGTTTATCACGAAATCCTTCAACATTATCACACATTTGACTGGCAAGGGACTGAAGGATTCTCTGAGGATTGTTGAAATCAGAATTTCGAAAGTCACAGAAATGGTGAGCTGCGAGTTGACCACGTTCTCGGAAAACCGCGCTAAGCTTTGCAGACAAAACACTTTTTCCAACACCTGGACCTGCAGTTAGGATCAAGACCCTCGATTCTTCACTCCAAAACCAAGGTAAAAGTTTATCAAACCACCACTTTCTAGTGCCATCTTGAAATTTTCTAGAAAGGTCACGAATCTTTCCAGCAAAGTTAAATTTAGCCAGTTGCTCGACATGCGAGGGATGAACATTTTCAACTTTCTTAGTTAATTTGACTACTTTACTTTCAACATCACTTAATTTTGACATAAAATCATCCTCTTGTTGTTTCCACTCTTTCAATCTTTCAATATAACTTTCTTCTTCAGGGCTAAGAGGAGCCACCTTTAATTCATCAATATCATTTTGGAGAATTCCCAAGTTGACTAACGGAACAGAAATTTCTTGCCACAATGTTTCAAATGTTACGTCGTCCAAAACAGCAGTCGGATTATGACCATAGACTTCATTTCTAAACATTTTGACTCTTAAAATATTTGCAGATATAGACGTATCGCTGACTGGAGGCATCACATTCCATCCGGTGGCTGGTGCAGACAATCCACAAATATTTCGGAGCAGGACAGTCAATAGGCTAATATCAAAGTTGTTTGAATCTGGTGTACCAGATCTTGGGAAGAGTAGATCCCATTGCGAGGCTTTAATTACACTGTATCGGATTCTCTGCAAGGTCGCTCTGTTGGCATTCAGTACAGAAGCTAAGGTGGAAGGTGGATGCATGGCATGCAAAGCATTTCTCAAAGCATTTGTTGCTTTATCTACCAACAAATGACATACCCTGAAATAATTAGCTTTGGCTTTCAATTGATCCATTGTCGTCTTTAAATATCAACTTCGCAATCCCCTAAACCAGAAAAACAAACTGTCACGATGATAATTCTTATAACACTGTTGTACAAAAGATGTTATAATTACAAGGTTTTTACAGTGATATAAACACGTAAAAAGAATTGCTAATAAGTTAATAAGTTCACGGAACCATGTTTATTTAATCCATCGGAATTATCGTTACTCAGGTTTATTTAATGAAATAATCACCACAAAAAGATTACATTCACCAACGTTTCGTTTTTGCCTTTCGGCTTTCCGGTCTAGTGTCTTCACCAGAGGTAACTAATGTTGTAGCTTTGATCCTAATATACACTCTCAAAATGACGTCATCAGATGTAATAATCAGATGTAAATATTATCATTTACGTGACGTCATCCCATTTAGGGCTCAAATATTAATATCCCAGGCTTGTGTCACAACGATCGTTAGTGGTAATGCATGATTTGTACATAATCCACGCAATGTTATGGTTTGTTCGACACACATGTTCCGCCAAGGACCAAAGCTGATTTTGAACTATCTAAGTTCGAAACGGCCTTTTAATGTTCTTTTGAACTGTTGGACTTGAATTTAATCTTTGTGTGGTGACTACTTTCATTAAGTAAACTAGAGTAACGGTAATTGCGATGAACGTAAAATAAGTTTTGAATTGGATTTGCGATTCGTGAAAATATGGTTGAAAAGTTAACCTAATTTTCGCTAATTTGCTATAGAATTTGGGATGTCGGATATTTCAGGGATAAGTTAAATTTAGTTCAGTATTAATTATTATAAAGATTATATGATTTATATCAGTTATGTGAATAGCGTGCGGTCACGTGACCTGTTCAGATTGGCCTGGGTTCTTATTGTTTTGGGTCGGCAACGTGATAAATAACAAGAAACTAGCGAGCGAAGAGAGGAGATTTTGTATTACAATTTTTGTTATATTTTAATATAACAAAAATTTTAATATATATTCTTTAAAAAGAATACATACATATATGTATTTGGGTGACTTTTTTCGCAGAGCCAGCTTGGAGGCGGGTAACTTGCGAAACATGACAAACTTATGACAAAGCGAATGTTTTGTTTTAGAATAAATTGAAACAAGTGCTCATAAATTGTTCCAGAACAGGGACTGTGCTAGCACGTAACAATGATACGGTTTTTCAACGCCAGCTGGATGCTTTGAAGTCATTGTCATACGAAGCCGAGATTGCCAGACGAGAATTTGAAGTGCATTTTATCGCTAAAAGCGATGACAAACGAAATCGTAGAGTGGAATGCTAAGATCAAAGCAGATGTAGAAAAAGCTGATCACGATATCAAGCGGATTACAATTTAACAAGACGAGTTTAATCAAGCGAAGGAAGTTACATCGCGAGAAGAACAATTCATATTTGAAATGAAGCTTCACGAGTCGATGTTGAACCTTCAGTCAGAACAAGAAGCGCCGAAAAGAAGACACAGAAACGGTCAAAAAAGCGTAGGAAGTTGGTGCAAAGCTTCCGAAATTAATAATTTTGAAATATGACGGTTCGTACACGGATTCGACGCAGTTTTGGGGAGAATTTAACGAAACAGTTGAGAAATCTGGCTTGCTTGGCAAGCGTGGCAAAATTCTCGTATTTAAAAGAGCTCTCGTGCGACAAGGTACGACGAGATGTCGAGGCGCTTCCGTTTACCGCCGAAGGCTACAATCGGGCTCGAGCAATCTTAGAAGAGAAATACGGTAAAGAAAACGTAATCGTCAAGGCCTATGGTAGGAAAATTCTTGAACTGCCGCCAATTACAGGCAACCAATAAAAAAATCGGTATGATCTCAAGAAAGCATGCAAAAGCTGGATGGAGCGAATGGCTTCGCATCGTTGATTCTCGATAAGCTACCTGCAATTTTAGAAAATAGGAAAAATTAGACTTTGCTTGGTGAATCTGTGATTTTATGCTTATTACCAGTTGACCTGGAATAGTAAACATTCATTTTCTTGTAAAATATGAAACTTAGGCTAATTTCAACCTCTAGTGACAACCCCTAAAAGAAACCAATCTGAACCATATAAACAATTTAGAAAGACTGTAGCTTTGATAATTCAGGATTTAGAGCTATGTCGACTATGCCGTTTCTGGGTGTGGTCATTTTCAGGATTTTCGTCCCGGATTCAGATTTTGGCACATATTCCATGTTGACCGCCATGGTGATTTTACAATAAAACAGTTGAGATAATCTGTCCTAAATGAAATGCATACAAACTCCTTTACAAGTTCTAGACTACACTACATTCTCGCCAGGAACGGGGTTGCCAAGGTATTTTATTCTCACCAGGGACGGGATGCCAAGGTATTTCATTCTCACCAGAGACGGGGTTGCCAAGGTATTTCATTCTCACCAGAGACGGGATGCCAAGGTATTTCATTCTCACCAGGGACGAGGATGCCAAGGTATTTCATTCTCGTCAGGGACGGGATGCCAAGGTATTTCATTCTCACCAAGGACGGGATGCCAAGGTATTTCATTCTCACCAGGGACGGGGATGCCAAGGTATTTCATTCTCACCAAGGACGGGATGCCAAGGTATTTCATTCTCACCAGGGACGGGGATGCCAAGGTATTTCATTCTCACCAAGGACGGGATGCCAAGGTATTTCATTCTCACCAGGGACGGGGATGCCAAGGTATTTCATTCTCACCAGGGACGGGATGCCAAGGTATTTCATTCTCACCAGGGACGGGATGCCAAGGTATTTCATTCTCACCAGGGACGGGATGCCAAGGTATTTCATTCTCACCAAGGACGGGATGCCAAGGTATTTCATTCTCACCAAGGACGGGATGCCAAGGTATTTTATTCTCACCAAGGACGGGATGCCAAGGTATTTATTCTCACCAAGGACGGGATGCCAAGGTATTTCATTCTCACCAAGGACGGGATGCCAAGGTATTTCATTCTCACCAGGGACGGGATGCCAAGGTATTTCATTCTCACCAGGGACGGGATGCCAAGGTATTTTATTCTCACCAAGGACGGGATGCCAAGGTATTTTATTCTCACCAAGGACGGGATGCCAAGGTATTTTATTCTCACCAAGGACGGGATGCCAAGGTATTTCATTCTCACCAAGGACGGGATGCCAAGGTATTTCATTCTCACCAGGGACGGGATGCCAAGGTATTTCATTCTCACCAGGACGGGGTGCCAAGGTATTTCATTCTCACCAAGGACGGGATGCCAAGGTATTTTATTCTCACCAAGGACGGGATGCCAAGGTATTTCATTCTCACCAAGGACGGGATGCCAAGGTATTTATTCTCACCAAGGACGGGATGCCAAGGTATTTCATTCTCACCAAGGACGGGATGCCAAGGTATTTCATTCTCACCAAGGACGGGATGCCAAGGTATTTCATTCTCACCAAGGACGGGATGCCAAGGTATTTCATTCTCACCAGGGACGGGGATGCCAAGGTATTTCATTCTCGCCAGGAACGGGGATGCCAAGGTATTTCATTCTCGCCAGGAACGGGGATGCCAAGGTATTTCATTCTCACCAGGGACGGGGATGCCAAGGTATTTCATTCTCGCCAGGAACGGGGATGCGTGTACTGCGATACCGTTGATCAAAAAGCTAACGAAAGCCCGAAAGTTACCTCGGTTCAAGATCGGAGACAAATCTTGGCAAAGAAACGGCTCTGCTTCAACACGCCCATGGAAGCCATCGGACGGCTGATTGTCAAATCAAAAAATCCTGCCAGAAATGTGATAAACGTCACCATACGTTAATATGTGACATTTACTGAAAAGTTGGTGCAACGTATCCACTGCGAGACTCTACATGGCGGGTCGGTCTTACAATGGCGGGTCGGTCTTACAATGGCCGCTTTGCGAGAAAATTTCTGGATTCCCAAACTTCTTAGTCTGGATTATTCGTATTCCGGCCTCATAACATGACCCACAAAACTTAAGAATTTTCAGCCTCGACCAGGTGGTGTCGTCATAATACAATCTGATAGTAAGAACAGGGGTTCGTAGCCTCTGGCGATCGTAGAAGAGGCTTTCCCTGGAAAAGACAATGTCATTCGGGCAGTGCGCGTAAGAACCAAAAACGGAAGCTTGGAGAGAGCGGTACAACATTTGTTCCCGATGGAGTTAAGTTGTCACGCACAAAAGAAAACGAAAACTCTTAATCCGGAAGTAGCGGAATTCAACCCACGTCCGAAACGAGACGCAGCAGTGGCCTTGAGGCAGACGAAGAATCACTTGATTAAGAACAAGCTTTCGATTAAATGACATTGCATGAGAAATATATATATATACATATCTCCTACAGAACGTATATAGGGGATTATGTCGGATATGTTAGGGATGAGTTAAATTTAGTTCAGTATTCATTATAACATAGATCAGATTATAGATTATATCAGTTATGTGAATAGCGTGGGGTCACGTGACCTGTTCAGATTGGCCTGGGTTCTTATTGTTTTAAGTTGCAGGGCCGTAGCTAGAAGCTTAATTGGGGGAGGGGTGCATATTCATATATTCGTCATATGCCCGAATGATTTCTTTTGTATGCTATTATTCCTATGGTATATAAACATGAATATATGAATATACACCCCCCAATTAAGCGGTCTAGCTACGGCCTTGTTGGGTTGGTAACGTGATAAATAACAAGACACTAGCGAGCGAAGAGAGGAGATTTTGTATTAGAATTTTTGTAAAGAATGCAAACATATTTTTGAGTGACTATTTTCGCAGAGACATCTTGGAGGCGGGTAAATTGCGAAAGGGAGTCTTACTGGACAGCAAATAATTTACAAAAGAATCAAAATATAATGAACACTAACAATAACAATGACTTTTTTTTACTTCTGCAAGATGCTACAGAAATAATTCTCGAGGACCCACCCTGTGATGTCTTGTCTAGAGAACTGTAATTAGTACGTGTAACAGTCTATTGCATAGACTCGGGCATCTATAACCGCGAAGTTGCAAATCGCGCAGTTGAGAATTCAGTTGCAGAGTAGCCTATACTAAGTGTATCAGGAAAAACTATAAGATTTTAAAATGTCTGGATAACTTATATTGAATCGAAATACCTTAAAACCTATTTTAGCATCTTTTGGCTTATCTAACAGTAAACACTCGATCATAAAAATCAACCTCAAACTGAAAGCAAGGAATTGACTGAAAACAGTCAGGTTGGGTCATATAAAAACATCCGACATATAAAAAATATTTTGAGTCATGATATAACACGACCTTAGCGACGTTGGCTCTTTTCTTGTTCGGTTTATTGGTTTTCTAATACATAAGGAATTCATTCAAACCTGGACTCCACAAATAAGAATCTTCTCAAATCCAATAACTTTGGGTTAATTGTCCTGGATATAAATCCGTCACCAATATCATGCTATAAATGCCCGGTAGATCTCTTTCTAAATTGCAACAGAAGCAATATTAAACAGGGATGCACACCTTAAGACTGACAAATGGAAGAGGATGAGAAATTGTTAGTCCTTTATTTTTCCCTTTTCTCTTCACTTCACATTGTGTGGTATGAATTGTTTTACATAATTATATATATATATATATATATATATATATATATATATATATATATATATATATATATTGATTGCAGATATTGAAAGTTTCATTCTTATACATGGTTTGGAGACTAAATAAAAGTACAATACAACTCATTAACCCGGTTATTGTCCAGGTTTATGCAAAAAATGGTTCCTTTCTTGTCACATGTCTATTGTGTTTTAGCTAAATTTACCAATGATATTTGTATATGTGAGGAGGAAGGAATAGTTTTTCCCATAAATGTACCTCAACATAGTTAATGAGTTTTATTACAGTTTTATGTGGTCTCCAAACCATGTATATTCTATTAACTGTGGAGATGCAATAGAAGATCAATGTTGTGAACCTAAAATATTTTGAAAACAAGCATTTTCTTTCTATATGATTAGAATACTCTATTATAGTCCTCTCCATCTATATGTATTGACAATGTAAATAATGCATGTTCCGTGGCTATAGATATTTTTTTCTTTACAACAGATTGTGGATGCACATCATAGGTATGGATGTAATGTCAATCAGCATGCAGGCCCGGTATCAACTGCCGTAATACATTTCATTTTTGCTCCTATTATTTCCCACAGAAAACCTATATGTCTTTGTAACTATGACTTCAACAATTGAAAGTGTTGCATATTTTGTGTCAGCTAGCTATAAAGAAAAATCTTATATATTTTATTGTTATCTTTTAAAATTATATTGTCCCGGACCACCTTAAGTAAAAGTAATCTGTCTTTTACAATGAATTAAAATATTCAAGAGATAAATATTAATCACTACATATCATAATTGATGTGTAATATAATGGAGAATATGTTAATTTCACAATGATTGGTGAATCAGAATCTATTGGTCAATTAATTCCTGAATGTCAACCATAAATACTCCATTATTGCCACTGAATATCAATAATAACTACCCCTTATTGCCAATGAATGAATGTCAACAATGTCAAAAATGACATATCCTAGCTTCTGTCTAATTAAAACTTTTAATCGTATATATTACCATTGTGCTAACACAATTAATATAATATTTATGTATTTTAATCATTTATTCATACTCTGGGGAAATTGTGATAGATAAAGGATAAATCATTACCATCAGGCTGGGTTTATTCTGTTTACATTTTACATAAAAATGTATTTAATGAATTATTGCTATTCTACAATTTGAGGAGTAATTATGTTCTTATTCACTATATATCTATGTTTATCAAATCACATGCAGCCATATATTGCTGATCTAAGTTCATCTAACACAATGAATGCACTTGAGAACTCACCAGTGGGAAATATATTCTACTGTATTATCCTCAGAATATCTCCCAGAGGAAGTGTGGGGTCTGTGTGTGGATTCATGTATGTTCATTCAACATTAAAAAATTAATGGAGATATATTTCTTTATACATTTCAACGGAGATATAAATCATTACCATCAGGCTGGGTTTATTCTGTTTACATTATATGTAAAAAAGCATTTAATGAATTATTGTTATTCTAAAATTTAAAGTGTAATTATGTATGAATACTGATTTATGCTTCTTTTTCAAACCCCAGCCAAAACTTAGGAAACAAGCCTGTGCTTTCTAAATATTCCACTGGTAAAAATCTGATTCTAAAGGCTGAATAAATTAGCTGACATGAAGTCTATTAGAAACAGCCAATATTTCATAATTGAACACTAAAAGATTGACTCAGTCGATCATAACTACGCATTGAAAATTTGATCTAGCTTTGGTGATGTATTGTTCTCTGTAAGAACTTTTATCATATACATCTGTGTATTCATGGCAGGGCCGTAGCTAGACCGCTTAATTGGGGGGGGGGTGTATATTCATATATTCATGTTTATATACCATAGGAACAATAGCATACAAAAGAAATCATTCGGGCATAAGACGAATATATGAATATGCACCCCCCCCCCAATTAAGCTTCTAGCTACGGCCCTGATTCATGATAAATTGTGTTGTCTTGCGGTTTGTGTAAGTACATATATGCTAATAGTAATGCTAAGTATGAAGTGGGAGAAAATTGTAAAATTTCATATACCTAATTGCACAAAATAACAATTAAACATCTACTATAAAAACAATCAAAACAAAGCAATACCTTCTTTATTCCTTTATACCTTCTTTGTGAATTAATTGAAGGGAACAATTATTCTTCGTTGAAGGGAACAATGGAAAATGAGAAAAATGAAAGGAAAATGAGGGGGAAACACATGACCACTGCACATGACCACGTGCATGCATGTGACTTGCTGTTGAACAGTTCAAGCATTCCTTTCTGTAACTAAAAAAGTCCTCAGTTTTCCTAGCATGCAGTTTTCCAAAATTGTAGCTAATTAATTTCTAACAGAGCAGCCTGACTTTGCCGCTATCTTAAAACTTCATCGTCTGTTGCCTACGAAAGTTCCGTAGAAGTTCTAAACAAAATATTATAATAGTTGTTGTATATAATAATATTTAGAATATGCTTTCTTATTATTTATGTTTGAAATACAGGGTGTATCGAAAAAATGGTAACACAAATGTGACGCGCTATATCTCAACAAATCGTTGATAGATTTCATCGAGTTTTACATCATTGGAAAGCTTAGTTATTTAGCTTAAATGCTTGATGTGACGACAAGAAACCAGTGAGCAGTGCTTCGGCAAAAGTTTTAAGTGAAAATTGCATATTTCCACCGATGGGAATTAATGAGACAATTGATATGCATTTTTAATCAATAATAACAACAATTTACAATGTTAAAAACGCACGATTGTTTTACATAATTACGGTCATGCAGTGTTTATGCTCCGACACCTTCCACGTGTCCTCCGTTTCTTTCAATGCACAGTTCACAACGCCGTCGCATGCTCTGCACCGTCCTTCTGACGAGTGCCTGATCGTTGACCAACACAGCGACTTCCCGATGAATGCGAGCTCGCAGGTCATCAATATCGTTGGGAGGGTTGGTAAAAACTTTGCCTTTCAAATAGCCCCACAAGAAGAAGTCACACGGCGTGAGGTCGGGAGAACGAGGTGGCCATTCCACTGCATTGCATGTAACGCAACAATTCGATTGCCGAACAATTCTCTTAGGCGTTGCGTAACAGCACGGAGACGATGTGCAGGAGCACCATCTTGCACCCACCAAAGATGCCTGAATACGCCTCCCACTTGCATTTCAAAATGCTCCAAAAGCTGCGGAACAACATCATTGTTAAGCATTTGCAAATAATTGAGGCCGGTGACGTTCCTTTCGAAGAAAATCGGACCAATAATCTCACCACTTCCACACAAACCTATCCAAACTGTCACCTTCTGACGGCTGCAATTCACATCGTAGTTGAATTCTGGCGGTTGACCTACTGGAGCATATTCCCGGACATTCTGAGTATTGACATCACCATTCATACAGAATGTAGCTTCATCACCAATGACAAAATCTCGCAGGAAATTTTCGTTTCTCTCGCATCGTTCGGTCAACCACCTTGCAAAATTCAATCGTCTTTGAAAATCGCGTGGTAGTAGCTGGTGTCGGACGTGCATTCGATACGGGTATTGTCTCAGGTCCAAGCGGGTTATCCTGTTAAAAGTTGCCGATGGTAGGCCAACACCGTTACGTCTTGCACTGGTACCAGTCGGATGTTCTGCGAGCCGATTCCTCACCAATTCAATGTTTTCTGCAGATCTGCCAGTCTTTCTTCTGCCAAAATTCCCCTTGTTTCGGTTATGACTGGTGCCATGCTGTTCAAACTTTCTTATGTTATATCGGATGGTCTTAATTGCTATGTCTTGTCGTTCAGGAAATCTCTCTCTAAACGCATCTCGTGTTCTTGCTAAGCTGCCAAGGTGATAAAAGGTTCTCACAATAAATGTACGTTGTTCAATTGTCAATTGACCCATCTTCTTTTATTTTGTCGCGTGCTAAGTCATGCATACTCGCATTACGTAAATCAAATTCTAATAATAATCGGCGATGATAGGGTTTTAAACCTCTTGGGACTAAATTTCAAAAGAAACGTGTGCAATTCCCATCGGTGGAAATATGCAATTTTCACTTAAAATTTTTGCCGAAGCACTGCTCACTGGTTTCTTGTCGAAATGCCACATAAAACATAGCATTTAAAAGCTAAATAACTAAGCTTTCCGATGATGTAAAACTCGATGAAATCTATCAACGATTTGTTGAGATATAGCGCGTCACATTTGTGTTACCATTTTTTCGATACACCCTGTAGAGTGATTTACGCTGTCAATGTTAATTTTTGACGCTAAAATAAACATATGAAACAGACCATCAATTTCTCTCCGGAAAAACTGAATTTTAAAAGATTCATTGGAGTTGAAACGGCTAGTGCCCTTTGGGTGATGTAAAATGCCTTTTTGGAGACGCTAATGTGGCTATATAAATACTATTTTAAAATAGAAGCCGCCAACTTTGTTTCCTTTGCGGTTAGGTTGTGGTCGACCGATAGAAATCGCAGACGACCGGAAGGGAAGAAATACTTTCGCAGTGGCCTTTCACTTCCGAACGAAATGTTGTTAACAGCTGAGAACGACAACAGAATAACCAAATTGAAAAAAATATTACGAAATGTCTGTCAGACCACACCGACCTAGTAAGGACGAGGTTTAACCTCCGTCTCACTTCGGTTCGGCTTCGGGCAGTCGGTTTGACCTCGGTTCAACCGCGAACAGACCGAGGTTTGGCCTAGGTTAACCGTGGTTATGTTATTTTATTTCAGGACAGAACTGTATGACGACTTACACATGCCTAAATGTTTTTGCAGAACATAAATATAAACAACACTAGTAATGTCTCTGCAGCTTTTGCAATTAAACCGTCCCTAGCTTTTTTTATTTGCCATTTTAATTATTAAACAAAAGTGTCCCTGGAAGCCGGTACCCACCAATCTCTGGATGCTTCCTATGCCCCTGCATTCGTTGCCTGCATTTGTTGCCGTTTATCATCACATACCATTACTGTTAGTATTTAGCTTGATTCACGAAAAAATCATTTTCATCGAAAACGCACGCGATGGGTGTGTCAATTAAATGACGAAAAATTCATTCAATTGTTGTCAATTAAATGCATGATCGTTTCTTGCGGATAGGTTTGCAAAAATATACGCGCGAAATATTATTTCACAGAGCGATAAAAAGCGGTTAATTGAAAAGTATGTTTTCCCTTTCCTCATTGTCCAAACTCTTCCCACGCAGGTCGAAAGTTGGCGAATGTAAATTGTTGCAAATTGAAAAAATTCGAGACGACGACGGCTTAACGTCATGCAGCGAGTGAAAATCAGTTAACATGGTAAATCCATGCAGGTAAATCCATGCAGGTAAATCCATGCAGGTAAATCAATGCAGGTAAATCCATTGTTTTTGTTATTCCAGAGAGATCTGAGTCTGTCGGCGGAACACGAGAGATGTCCGAAGAGGAAAAAATATACCACGATTAGTTCGGCGTCAACAGCCAAATATAAAGTTAGTGATTTTGAGATGATTCATCAAATTTCGCTCCTGCCTGCGAATGTTATTTTGTTTTCTCATCTGCACATTTCTAAAGCGGGCATGTTTCTGACTGCTTTCGAACATGAAAGAAATATATAAGCGCCAAAGTATAATTGCCAAAATGAAATAATAATTAATTTACTTTTCTTTTCTTCATAAAGATTGTGGCTATACCAAAAAGACACCGAAAAGAAGAGCGGTGAGGAAGTTCAACTTTCTGAAGTAATATTTGAAAATAACAACGATGTAGAAGACAACAGTAGCGATAACTTATCATGTTGTGACACAGTTCACACAAACGACCTCACTCGAAGAGGGGTAACTCGACCTCACTCGAAGAGGCGTAACTCGTCAAATTGGTAAGTTTTACTTATAGTTTTTTACTGTTTGCAATATACCCAAAACTATAAGACCAAAAATAAATTTTCTGCACAAAAGAGTTCCAGCGTCCTCACAAAAGAGTTCCAGCGTCTACACAAAAGAGTTCCAGCGTCCACACAAAAGAGTTTCAGCGTCATCACAAAAGAGTTCCAACGTCATCAGAAAAGAATTTCAGCGTCCAAACAAAAGAGTTCCAACGTCATCAGAAAAGAATTTCAGCGTCCAAACAAAAGAGTTCCACCGCCATCAGAAAAGAGTTCCAGCGTCCAAACAAAACAGTTCCAGCGTATTCAGAAATTAGTTACAAAATAGTGAACGGTCAAACGAAAGAGTTCTAGCGTGAACACGACTGAAAGAGTTCAAACGCACTCAAAAAAGAGTTCCAGCGTGAACATAAAAGATTTCCAAAGTGCACACAAAATAATTCCAAGGTCCAAACAAGAGTCGGGCGTCCACACAAAAGAGTTCCAAGATCAACATAAACGAGTTCCAACGTCAACAATTACACGAAAGAGTTCCAGCGTCTTCACAAAAGAGTTCCAGCGTCTACACAAAAGAGTTTCACTACAGAGTCCACACAAAAGAGTGTCAGCGGCCATACAAAAGAGTTCCAGCGTCCACACAAAAGAGTTTCAGCGTCCAAACAAAAGAGTTCCAGAGTCCAAACAAAAGAGCTCCAGCGTCCTCACAAAAAAGTTCCAGCGTCCTCACAAAAAAGTTCCAGCGTGCACACGAAAGAGTTCCAGCGTCTACACAAAAGAGTTCCAGCGTCCACACAAAAGAGTTTCAGCGTCATCACAAAAGAGTTCCACCGTCATCAGAAAAGAATTTCAGCGTCCACACAAAAGAGTTCCACCGTCATCAGAAAAGAATTACAGCGTCCAAACAAAAGAGTTCCAACGTCATCAGAAAAGAATTTCAGCGTCCAAACAAAAGAGTTCCAACGTCATCAGAAAAGAATTTCAGCGTCTAAACAAAAGAGTTCCACCGTCATCAGAAAAGAATTTCAGCGTCCAAACAAAAGAGAACCAACGTCATCAGAAAAGAATCTCAGCGTCCAAACAAAAGAGTTCCACCGCCATCAGAAAAGAGTTCCAGCGTCCAAACAAAACAGTTCCAGCGTATTCAGAAAATAGTTACAGCGTGAACAGTTACACGAAAGAGTTCCAGCGTCAACACGAAAGAGTTCCAACGCCATCACAAAAGAGTCCAAACGCACTCATAAAAGAATTCCAGCGTGAACACAAAGGCGTTTCAAAGTCCACACAAAATAATTCCAAGATCAACATAAAAGACTTCCAACGTGAACG